AATAAAATTATAAAATATACATTAAAATAAAGATTTTTCGAATTGTATCAAATTATATATTCGAATCCGTTCGAATCAAATTATATATTCGAATCAGTTCGAATCGAATCGAATCAAATTATATATTCGAATCTGTTTGAATCGAATCGAATCAAATTATATATTCGAATCTGTTCGAATCGAATCGAATCAATCCGAACTCGAATCCGTTCGAATCAAATTATATATTCGAATCAGTTCGAATCGGTTCGAATCGAATCAAAGTATAATTCGTTTCGATTCGATTTCGATTTGAATGAAACGAATCAAAAATTAATATTAAGTGATTCGATTCGATTCGAATTCGAATCGGTTCGAATTGGTTCGAATTTCATTGATTCGTTCGGAGCCTTATCTATATCATAAAGCAATTATTAACTTAATTGAAAACAAAACCTTCTTCCAACACTTTCTTGATATTAATTATACTGCAAACATGTAAATGAATTTTTTCTTTCATAAACAGAATAAAAAAATCAGGGAATTAAAGCTAGTAAAAAAAAATGACATCAAATGCACTATTCTTAGTTAGTAATAAGTAGAAGTGAACTTCAAAGATAAAGTTGAAAAGTTAAAGAAAGAACTTATTGAACATTTAGAGACTAGAGTTGAGGAAAAAAAAGTTGAATGACATTTAGATGTCTTGGAATTAGCTTGAGAATGAAGAGAAAGACAATTAGCTGAAAAATCGGAACAATTGGAAACAGTTAAAGTCATAGTATCCTTTTGGACTTATCAGGTAAGGAAGGACAATGAAATAAATTAACAAGCCCAAGTAATTCAACAGCTAAAACAAGAATTATATTCAGCCAATAAATAAGCCATTTCCCACATTATCAACATACAAACAACAAATTACAAAAAAGATAAGTGAGAAAATTCACTAAAAAGAAAAAAAAGAGAAACCCACTTGACTCATTTAGGTCATTTATTTAACTATAAAGAATAATATCTTGTAATAATAATATTTTAATATTACTTGGCTGTAGCTTATTATTAATCATTTTGATGCTTTACAACAAAACATGAAAATTGTCCTAAAACATGATTTATTTTTAATACAGCAGAATAACTACTTTAAACTGAATTAATCAAATACAATCTTCAAAGATGACTTTTCGCATACTTGATATATGTTCGGGAGTAGTGTTACAACATCCACCAAGAATGATTCTGTTTTCACATTTTTCAATCCAACTTTTTGCTAAATCAACAAATTCCTTTATTTTCAAACCAGTGTTTTCGCTCCATTTATGCTTTCCCTCATCCCAACTGTTTCCTCCATCTGGATAACACACTATCCATTTTTTTTCATATTCTAATGAAATTTTTTTTGCTTTGTTTCTTAAGTTATCAATAAGTGAATTTATAAATTTTGGGTTGGTACAATTGACTCCAACTCCAATCACAAAATCATATTTACAAATTTCTATAAAACTTTCTAAAAAGCTTTCTCCGTGACAAATTTGCTCTTCATTTCTACAAGAAAAACTTATCCAACACATCATATCAATATGTTCTTTCATAATAACTTCACATATAATTTTTGCTTCCACCAATGATGGAATAGTTTCAAAAGCAATCAAATCTATTTTATTAAATTTGTCTTTAAATAAATTTAATTGATTCTTATGGAATGATTCTATTTGTTCTCTAGTTGCTGTTTGATCCACATAATCTCCTTTATATTCTGACCCATCACACAATATTGCACCATATGGTCCCATTGATAATGCTATTAAAGGTTTGATTCTACTTTTGTTCTTGTTATATGTATGAGGATTTTTGCTATTACTTATTATTTGATTTTGATATTCTTTCCAAAATATGTCTCTTGCATTGACTGCTATATCTACTGATTTTTGGATTATACCAACTGATTGTTGTTCTGTGAAACCTTGTTTTATGAATCCGTCTAAAAAAGCCTGATAACTATACATGTAGATTATATACATAAAAACGATTGTTTGTTAATTTATTAATCATCTCAAAACACTATTTTAAATAAATAAACTTTATCAAAAATTTATTATTATGGTTATACAAACCTACAAGTGCTAATAATATCAGCACCAGCTTTTAAATAATCTAAATGTGACTTTTTGATAGAATCTGGATCTTGATATAAATATATTGATGTCCATAAATTTGTTTTATATAAATCTTTATTATAAATCTTTTCTAATTGCGTGGCCATACCACCATCCAAAATTAAAGGTAATGAATAACCATCAAGAAATTGTTTGAAGTTCATTTTATTATTAAGAAATAAAAGGGAATAATCAATACTAATGTTACACAATATGGCTTCACTTTATTGAATTTTAGCATTAAGCCAGTGTTCGGTTTTTATAATAATAATGTCGTGTCCAGCTTATTATTATTACAAAAAGTCTCGTCAATATTGACTTAAGAAATACAAATAAGGAAATTATTTCCTAATTCATTTACATGAAGTGAAAATTCATTATTTTTTTGTATATTTTTGTGAAAAGCATATGAATGTTTTAAAAGTGAAACAATTTTTGTCAGTAATATCCATTGAATTCCAATTGTGATTTTGACACATACATGACCTTGCATTATTGTCATATTCTATGTGTAAGCATTCTCCAAAAACCAATTTCTAATATTTATAAATTCATTCAGGTTTTGCTTTGTTTTTTTTTTTGTTTATGAACAATAAAAAAAATCATGAATAAATTTTTTTTTGAGATGAAGATATTTCAAATAATCGTGACATGTCTCAATTGATTATAACATTATAACATTTGCTTCAATTAATTAATTATAGTGCTTGTTTCAATTAATTATAACATTTGTTTCAATTAATTATGACATTTGCTTTACTAATTGTGACATTTGCTTGACATTTGTTTCAATTAATTATAGCATTTGTCACGGTTAATTATAACATGTGCTTTACTAATTGTGATGTTTTTAATTATAAAATTATGGTGGCATGTAACACAATTTTATTAAAACATTGCTTCAATATAAAATGGCACAATTAATTGTGACATTTACTTAATCTTCAGCATGCCATATAAGAAACAAATAATTGTAACAATCTAAATTTTTTTTTTTAAATAAATAATTTTCAATTTTTACAAAATGACAACTATGGAAGGAATTGAAAATGATAAAAATATTACATTTAAAGAGTACAAAGAAGCAAAAAGGAATTTGAAGGAGTGGGAGGAGGGAGATAAACAGAAAATGTTAGATGTAAGGCCCCAAACAAATCAATGAAATTCAAACCAAATTGAATTGAATTGAATCACTTAATTTTTGATTCAAATCAGTTCAAATCGAATTTGAATCAAATCTGAATTGTACTTTGATTCAATTTGAATATATAATTTGATTTGAACTAATTTGATTTACTTGATTTGATTCAAACTGACTGATTTGAATCTATAATAATAACTGATTTGAGTCCATGATTTGAATTAAATACATTACATATAATTAATGAAAAATCTTTATTTTAATGTATATTTTATAATTTTATTTATAAAATATTTTTTATTTTATATTTATTTATATAGTATAATTAAAATGCCCTTCCACCAATTTTTAAGGCACATACAGCACCTAATTGTATCTGCAGACAAACTGCATCTTGTTGGTGTAATTAAATCAGTACCACCAGAAAAGATCCTTTCAACTGGGACACTAGATGCTGGAATGGCAAGATAATCCCTTGCCATATTGGCCAGATGAGGATAGTCCAGCTCATGCATCTACAAAAAAATCATATCATACATTTTAATTAACAGAGCAACAATCATTGACATGGTTAATGAAGAAATTGTCACCCATTACAGTCACCAACCAAAGGATAAAGTATAAGAAAGGAGATCAGGAACAAGATATTGTTGCAACCCTAATTAGTCAAAAATGTAAAGCTATCTAGATGAATTTAGGATATGGTGATATGAAACAGTAAGACTGCCCAAAGTACAAGGAAGTGTTGACAAAAGGTTAAAATACTTGGTGGGCAAATTGAAAAATCAAAAGTATAATGTTGTTTTAGAATAATATTATGTCCTTGGGAACTTTTATCAGAAAGTCCTTCAAACTACAAAGCCAAAATAATTCAATGCCTGGATCAATTTAAAGGAATCAGGATGGCAAACATAGCAAGAAGAACTTATATGTTATTTGGAGTAGTGGGATTGCCTTACTTGACAGTAAAGAAATTAACCCCTATGACCTTGGGAAATTTTACAGAAAAAGATTCTGAAGAGTTCATTTCAAGATCAAGGACATCATGATGGAAAATCTAGAACAACATTAGCAAATAGAGGTTTAATGCAGTGTTAGGAATTAATAAATAGTATGATATTATGTCAAATACATGCCATCTCCATTCAAGAACATCTTGATGCATTCTAAAGAGTCTATTAAGAACATAAATAACTGAATCAATTGCATAAGTTCTTTCCAAATCAGATGATTTAAAGTCAGGAATCATTGGTGCCTCCAACCTAATAGAGCTATTTGATGGTAGTGTTAGTTATTGACTTAAAAAAATATAATAACCTTAGGCACAAATAACTTAAAAATTCTTCATGATATCTTGAGCTATGTCATGACCTTCATGCAAAAAAGAGTTGAAATGACCTGCAATAAAGACTTTCTGATTAAAACAGGAACATTCATTTGATCACAATTGCATTCATTAATAAACTCTGGAGTTTTTTTCCAAACTCTCTTGTTCAAGATATTACTTAACCAAATAAGTTGCTCTTCCTCTAACTTTTGATTTATTTATTCTTTCACAATATCAATTATACCATTTAAAAAAAGTGAGCCCATGAGTTTTTTTCCAGATTCATTTTCTTTTGATTTATTAAGTTCAAGAATCTCCAGTAAAACATCTCTTACTAATTTCACATTTATCATTTAAACTTTGTAAATCCTGGAAAAAGGAGTAAGTATATTTATTAATTATTAAATACACAAAAAATTATATCACCTCTGATAATAGATCATCAGTATTATTATAATCTGTATTTCCATTTTCTTCTTCTTGATTAGAGCTCTGAACAAGTCGGGTCGGGTCGGGTCGGTGGTTCAACCGATCCAACTCGAACTTTTAAACAGTTGACCTGACCCGACCTGTCGGGTCAACAGGTCACAGATTAAGAAAATTACAAATGTAGATTAGTGATCACAATCATCATATTCATGAATATTCATTAAGGGGGTTACACTTATCAAAAATCCAAAAATCCCTTAA